TAATTGTCTCATTCCTTCCAGTGATGGAAATTCCACAGCCTTTATAGATAATGCATCTCCATATTTATCATCTTTAGTATTCAAAAGACTTAACTGAAACATCCCTTACAACACTGTGAGCCAACTCTCTACCCAACTGTCTGCAATAACCTCCTATATATTTGAAGATTTTTATCATGTGTTTATCATGTCTAAACTTTATCTTTTCTCAAATAAAAAAATCCAACTATTTCAACTTTACAATATTGGCTGAACAGACTCTCAATATACAAAGTCTGGCCTTGCTTGGTGTTTTCCTGCAAGGAGAGAGTTGAATACTCTAAGATTTAACAGGCTGAACAGAGGTTTCCAAGCACTCAGTTCTTATAAAACAAAAGCTGGGCCACAGCCACTTGAAAAGAGTGAGTCCTGTTCATTTTTTTTCGAAGAACACTACCTATCTAGCAGGTATAGAGTTTGGACCACTGGTGTCCTGGTCATTCTGTTCCAGCTTTCTAAGAGGAGCTCAAATGCAAACTTCTTTATTTCGAACTCTCCTAAATGGCTCTGTGGTCAACACAGAGCCTTTTTCGCCCTTTCAGATGCACATTTTGTCACTGAATACAGAGTTTGGCAATCCAACATTGGGTTTTGTGTTCTATTTCAGGTTCAATAACCTAAAATATAGTACATAAATATAATTTGCAGATATCAGAGATGTCTGTAGCAAACACTGGAACACAGTGACAACATCTCCAAGATTAAAATGACTAAGTCAGTTCAGGGCCATAAAACATAGTTGCATTAGTAAGGCCAGGCTGCCCTCAGGACCCTGTGCTCTGCTGAATGCAGCTGAACTGGTCACTATTGGGGATCTCCAGTTCTCTGAGACAGATTCTAAAGAAACAGAAGAAAGGCCTTGCCCAAATATTATAAGTATAGCTTAATGCCTGAGTCACAGGAACTCTGAAGCAGTACTAGCCCAGTTCAAAAAAGCACTCAGGAAGGAAAGTAGGTATAAGTCAAATAGGATGAAATCACGTATTTATGGTGTGCTTAAGTGCTTACCTAAATCAAGATACTTCTCCTGGATTTTGACCCAGTATGGTCAATATGAGCATACACTGTGATAGAGGAACAACAACCTACTGAGATGGGTGACAAAGGAACAGTTTGGAAGGGATTGGTAATCACTGAACCTCTAATTAAGAAATAAATCGCAGACTACCTAAAAGACTGCAAACTTCGTTTTCAGCATCTGTCTTTGAAAGTGATTTTAAAATATGCTCATCAACGGCATTTTAAATACAATTACATATTTTTCATTTATTGTGTAAAAGCTACATTAAAGAAGTGAGAGCAATTTCATGCTGAGATCTGTTGTCATTTGGATGTCTAGTGGCAGTTAGGTCTCTTGGCTGGTCAGACAGCTGCCAGAACAGCTCTCGTCACCATCAGCACTGGGATGATGATTTGGATTTAAAAGGGCTATAACTCTCACAGGGCATCAAGACAATATAACACAAAGTGATCTTGCAGGTAGCTGCAATCCATTATATTATGAATTTTCAAAAGTTTAGGCAAGCCTTGAAACTACCATGTGTTCAGTAGCAAGTATGTCATTAACATAAAGGATTCTTCACCTTCTTGTAATAGCAGATGCTGACCTGTCTTTTAAGGATTTCTATTTATAAGCCATAACACAATAATCACTGTAAGATAATTGTGGTAATACCTCATGATCATCATCACAGAGACAGGAGAACAGTAGGAACAGTACTAAGCATATAAGAGAGAACATTAAAATCTATTTATATCATAGTTTTAGCTGGGGTAACTATGTTAGATGACCAGAAAATATATTGGCTGTACAAGGCAGAGATGAGCAACCTGGTCAAGTGCAAGATATCCCTGTCCATGGCCAGGGGGTGCAGTAGATGATCTTTAAAGGCCCTGTCCAACCCAAACCATTCTGTGCTCCTGTGGTAGTCAACTGCAGCTTCTGAGGGGTTTATCTGAACAGCAATTTCAAGACAGTTCTGCCAAAGAGAACACACAATACTTAAAAAGGTGTCTACAGCAAACAGACAAGCACAGTGCAGGGAAGCCCAGAGTGGTGGAGGCTGTGTCACTCCTGAAATGAGCTGTCCCTGTGAGCTCTCCACAGGAGCCCAAGATCCTAGCACAGCCTTGTGGAGAAGTTCCATCTCAGCTGGGGTAATAGGTTGGGTGTGGTGTTGCACATGACACTGAATTTTAGCATGAAAGTTAGTACCTTCACTCAGCCTTTTCCTATAAAGTATAGGCATACACTTTATAGACATATCTGGGCTGACACATCCTTATGCACCTCTACCCTGCACTGTTGACCAGTGTAAAGATTCCATATGAATGATATTTAATAGAAACAACAGGTTTCCAAGAGGGATGCACCTCTAAGGTCCCAGGGATAGGCTGAATCACAGTACAGCATGCCTAACCAAACTATGAAAGGAAAGCTTTTATACATAAGAGATCTTTATTCCATCAGAAACTCATAGAGTTCACCTCTTTGCAGAAACTGCCCACCATGTGTATTCGTTGTCAAATGCTATAAAAAGCCTGTAAAGGTTTTTCAAAAGGTTGGATTTCAGATAGAAGGCTTTAACCTGAAGGGCAGCTAAGGAATGGAGTTACATTTTAGTGGAGAAGCCATGAAGCTTAGAAGAATAAGTGAATAAACTGGTATAAAACTTGGTTGGATTCTGTAGTGTGGCTCAGATTTCTGTCCAATAATATATTATTTTCTATTTTATGATTTAATATTCATCAGTCCAAGGATTTTTAGGTATAGAAAATCTGCTAAAAGATACCAACTGACATGCATTCAGAAGCTGAAATGCTATCAGACCCTAACACTATCTCAGTTTTTTCTTCTGAGAGGGAGCTTCACAAACTAATCCATTCTTTATAGATCTCTTAGAGGAAAAACCTTTTTTGGTCAAAGTTTTCTAATTGTCCAAAATATGTCAGAAAATATTTAGAAATAACAAGAACATCCAGTTCCTTCAAACAGAACAAAACATTTGCTATGTCCCTTACTACATCACTTGCTCAGATTTTAAAGGATTAAGACCCAGAGAAAACCAGGAAACCAAGAGGAGATAAAAGGTCTGTTGTTTATTTTGCTTTTCTCACAACTTTTTCTAATACCAACAGAGCGGAATCAACTACAATGAAGTGAACTGTTGGCCATGAAGATTTTATTTATCAATAGCAGACTATGAGAGATGAACAAGTATCTGGAATGGGAAAGCATCTGTGAAGTCTGTAATTTTATGTCTTCTCTTTGGCGCTCAAGAAATTAAGGACAAAACTCAAAACTCCAAGGTGAATTCACTAGGAGCTGATCCAATAGGAGGAATTCAATTTGTCAGAACAAACACAGATGCCTACATTTGAGCTGGCCACCCCAAATCTATTTTGTTCTCAATGGTGAGAAGTCACTTTTAAGGTGCAATCGATCTTACTACACAAGGGACATCAACAATAGGTCAAATGAATCTCTCCAAGTACATGACAAATGTCCAGATTTAGGTGAGATTAAACACATCCTTCATGTTTCTGTGATTAATAACAGTCATATAATAGATCCCACAAAAGAGTTTCTTCCAAGCATTAGCTTTCCTGAAGCTTAAGAGAAGAGTCAGCAGAATCATTATGTAATGATTTTGTAGACACACCATGACAATTCTGTCTGATAAAAATATTTGCCTGTAATATTTCATTAAATTTAAAGTTACCATGTAGCAGCTGTAAGAGGTTGACGGCTGCCAAGAGCTGTGAGATTGCTGAATAGAATGGTATTTCTGGAGCCGTGCCCAGAGTTGAGACAAAATTTGACTCATCTTCATGCATACATTTCCAATAAACCACCGAACTAAAATAAGGATTTAACCCCATCACGAGGTTCCAGTGATAGCATCTAGAGCTAAGAATTTATTATAGGATCAATAGAAGCTTCTATAAGCAACTCCAAAATAAAGGTGATCTTTCCATAGCTATATTTGTTGGAACGTTTGTGGTCTTGAGTCGTGTTCTCCCAGAATGCACGTGACTCAAGCACTGATTCAGTTGTTGGTAGCAGGATAATTATAATTTGAGCTCCATTTTGTTTCTTTGCATGACTTCAGAGCGTATTAGAAAATATGTCCCATCCCTGGAAGTGTTCAGGGCCAGGTTGGATGGGGTTTTGAGCAACCTGGTCCACTGGAAGGTGTCCCTGCCCATGGTAGGGAAACCTTGAAACTAGATGGTCTTCAATGTCCCTTCCAACACAAGCCATTCTAGGATTCTAAGATTCTTTGAACTACTTAAGTGGGTAGGAAATACTGTGGTTGGGAAGGCTATGTCTGCTATTTAGAAACTGTAGGATAAGAACTGAGTTGAATCAATCATATCTATTTTTGCTTTCATTTTCAGCTAACAATCTTCCCACAAAAAAATGGAGATAAAAAGATAAGAGAGGGAAACAAAGAGAAAATAAGAACATTGAATGACATTTACATGACTTCACTCTGTTCAGACAGTTTTATGTTACAGCATTTTATTCAGTCTTTTTCTGACCTGTTCAAACTGCAAGCTTCTTGACATCTATCCTGTCACTTATTGAATGCTCAGGAGCTTTTGAGCACAAGGGGAGTCCCAGCCTCAAGTGAGATTTTTAGGCATCATCATATTATGAACAACAATAAGAAACACCTTCAACAGCTAAGTAACTAATAGTCCATCTTTTTTTTTGATAGTTAGTCTTTCGATCTGAATGCTGAAGAAATCAGTAAAGAATAATCTGGATATGGAGATAAGAATTTTTTTTTTTTTTTTAAATTACTGGAGTATCACTTTTTCCAAGTCATCCATAGATAATAAAATAGATACTGTAGCAAAATACAGTCTTTTGTTATTACACAGTAATACAATAGTTTAGGTTATACTTACTATTTTGTGTAATTACTATTAAAATATGCAACATTTATTCTTACCACTGAGAAGCCAATGTGGAAAATATATCACTGATTTCAGGTTCTTGGAACAGTTTCAAAAGTTCTGGTTCAGATGACAAGTCAGCAAGGATCCTTAACTCAATATGAGAAAAATCTAGAAAACAGAGTGTTAAAATGAATCTACTGCTCTAAAACAAAATCATACCTGCATTTTAACCAAACTATCACAAATTAAAATGTAAGCCTGGAGTGTTCAATCATTTCTTCATGCTCAAAAAAGACAAATGCCTGTAAGAAGCTCATCCTGATGAAGTTACATTCCAGCTATGGATCACAAGGTGCCTGATTCCTTCATTATCTTCATGTGCCAATTAATCTTATTAGCTCTTTGTTTCTACTGACAAGGCTTAAATATCATCCAGTTCTGAAGCATAGTAAGGAGTACACATCATATAACAATATTAATTGATACTAAGGGATTTGACAACCTTGTAAATATGTCACCCAAAGGAGAGGGGGAAAAAGAGATGACAGAACTGCGAATATTAATATGCATGAGAACAATGACACAGACTATCTCACCTGCTGCTAAAAATGTACATCCTTTTTTTGAAACAAACAATGTTCTTGGGGAAATAGTTACTATGTCCTCTTCTTTTCCTAGAGAAGAGATAGGCATTTAGGTACCAAACACCAGTCCAAAAATACCATAGAAGGTTGCAAATGACTTACCAAGCACACAACTAACACCACAGAAATGGCAGTGCAAGCAACCTTGCAGAGTAAAAACTGCCAGCATCACACTTATTTCTGTATATCAGTCATGCACAACTCCACCATACTCATCCTCGCAGTACTGCTCACTTCCTTTATCAAATCCAAACCCTTCCCGAAACACGAGGTAACAAATATCTGCAATAACTAACATTATTCACGGATTACTTAATAAAGGAGGCATTCACAAAGAAGGGTCTATAAAAATGAACTTAAAAAATGTATTTTCTTATCTTTGAATACGCTGCAGCAACGTGTTAATAATCAAATTCTGAGTTACAGGTGGTAGGGGAATATGATATCGAGAACATACAGCTGTCACAGGCATCCAGATTGTAATGACAGAAATCCCCAATAATATCATGAAGCCACAATGGACATTGAAAAGGAACTAGAAGCTGAGGGCATCCTGGGAATACCACTTGATTTGGTGTAGAGAAGGATGGTAGTTTGAAATGTCACAGAATCAATCTAGTCAACATAAAAGTGGAAAAAATAAGTGTGTCTTGATACAGGAAAAACTTAGAAACTACATCTTTGAGAAGCACATATTATATAGGTTCATTAACAAAATTTCCAGGAAGTTTCATGTGCCACAGTTATTTCTGGCATCTCAGGTTTATACAGCCCCTGTTCATACAGGGCTTTTAAAAAATGCTTATAAAAATGAACCATGTGGATAAAATAAAGCTAATGTCAAAATTTTACATTATCTTCCCTAGCCTCCTGTTTTATGATCTGTGTTATTTCCAAAGCAGGAACTGAATAGCTGTGAAAAGGCAAAGCCTGCCCTTAGCTGAGAACCAAGCACCACAATGAGCAGCATTGCCCAGCTGTGGCTGCAGGCGTTCAAGGAGAGTTTATGTTCCAAAATACCTCTCTTATACTTGAATCTGCTCTTGTGGGTTTCTCTCTCTATCACTTTGGCTCTTGCTTTTCTAGACTTTACTTTGATTCTCTCTGAATCGTCTGCCTTTAATTTGCTTCTGTTAACAAAAACAACACACCCGACCAACTACTGGTGTTTAGTTGTACTAAATGGTTTAGGTTTAACACCTCCTCAAGCAAAGCCTCATGAGCTGAATGCACTCAAAATCATCCCTAGGATATTTAAGGGATTTAAGATGCATAATTCATCTGGAAAAAGAAACAGTGAGGTAGCCGAAGGAAATAAAAAAAAAATCTAAAAGTTTGTAACTATTTAGATCAATGTTGAAAGAGCAAATTTGTTTTCAGAAACAACCAGCAGAAGTAATCAGTTTAAATGATAATGTATAACTAAGCATCAATCATCTATTCTGTTTGTTAATGCTGGAGCTATTTGCCTGCTTTGAAATATAATATAACTCATTAAAAAAAAACCCACATTTTACCTTTTATGTACTGTTTCTTTGTAATTCTAACTGGATGTTTAGAGATACCTTGAATGTTCTACAAATAAGAAAAATAAAAATGCTTAGTAAGTGAAAGTTTATGAAAACATATTTTTGAACAGTTTAAAACCACTATAAGAACATTAGTGATACTAATGTCAACAAGTTTTTCCCATACAATAAATAAGATTAACCACTTCGCCTTTCAAAGGAATCTTCACACTCTGCATCTACAGCCACTTTTGAATATTTGCTCTTCCTTGACAACTGGAAGCTCCTAAGAACAATTTCTCACCGGCAGCCTTTCCAAATCCTAACCTCTGGATGCATCATGGAAGATAATTATTAATCCAATAAAAATAATTTTCTTCTTATTTTAACCTGTTTTTTTTGATACAGTGCATTACTTTCAAGAAAGGAAAACATGTGAATCCTGCCTCAAGGCTAAGGGAACAGTATTCTTCAGCCTCTAGAAATTTTTCCAATATCTATTCCCCCTTTTTTTGAAATGCATGATAAAATAAATAAGGAACTCTTTCTTGACTACAGCACATCAGTCCAGATTAAAAGTGAGAGCTATGTTTATCAACCAATATGGAGGAGTAGGAATAGAAGAAAATTTTTCTTTCAAGATCCGGGTTCACACACCCCCAGTAAAGCAGCAAAGAGACACAGCACAGCTTCCTTCTGTTATTTTGTGTCATTATGCCTCTTCATCTAGAAAGGTTAGAAACAAGAGTTAATGCATATCAAGCTGATTTTGTGATTCCATGCAATTAATTTGCAAATGGTTCAGGAATGAGATGAACATACTAATTGTATGTCATACGGGGAATTCAGAGAGTGGGAATAGTGGTATATAATTCCCAAATCAGAATGATCATTTTCTATGCAACTTTGAACCCAAAACTGTTATTTTAAACTTAAGAGGGATGTAATCAGACAGCAAAAGCTATTGAAATTTAAAGCAGAAGTAAAAGAACAGAATTCCCAAACCAGAACAGTATCGTTTCTAGTCTTAGTATCATCCTTAAAGATGTATAATTAAATGTATTAAAGCTGAACCCCTGCCACAGCCACATACAGAGAGAGACATAGGAAACTACTACAGAATATTCAGAATATTTTCACAGCATGGGAATAAACTAGGAACACTGCTCTCAGTCCATCCATACGAAATGCACAAAACTAACATTCCTATTGGCAACGATCGATTTCCACTGATAAGTTGGGGAGAATCAGAGCTTGTTTATATGAATAATATGTAATTTTAGTGGCCACGGTAGATCCTCAGAAGTTCAGAAAATTAAGTCCTTTATTACGTATCTGGACATGAATATGGGAGCCTAACTTTACACATATATTAAAAAAAAAACCACAACATTTTAATTCTGACTTACAGAATGATTCTGACAGTAGAGATAACTGCATGAACTTTTCATTGGGGTCTACGTTGGTATTGTGACATTCACTCTGTCAGATAACTTCCAGCACAGGTTAGAGTTATTTACAATGACTCTCACTGATTATTGTTCCTTATCTCATTCGCCTCAAAATCATAAACAAAGTGGAAAAAAAAGGTATTTCAAAATCTATCTACAACACAAAAATAAATCGCTATATTTGCTACCTTATTTTCATTGAGAGCATATGCACAAAGTCTGCTTCCAATGCAATTTTAAAAGTGTTACTAATAATTCTGAAAAACACTAGTAATTGCAAGTGCAAGATGTCCTTTCACTTGTAAATTAGTTAACAACTCATAATTTGAATAAATCTGCAGAAAAGAGGTAGCTCAAGAAACATGAAAGTTGTAACGCTCAACTTTAAGCTACTGGAATAGCTTATCACATTCCTCTCATCTAATTTTGGATGTCTTTAGGCAAGTGGTTGGTCTAAACTATCTGCCTAGAATCCCTCTACAGCCAGCAGACAAGGACAGGAATCTCCAGGGGGCAGCTCAATCTATCAGTATAAGACACACACTTACAAGTTGTCCTAAGATCCCTTTGGAGGTGACGTATTCTAAGATTTAGATCATCAAATCTGATGAGATAAATTTACTCTAGATATTTAAAAGAACAAAGAAATATGGAGACAATTTCACAAGAGCCTTCCAAATAGGAAGCTTTGCTTTGCTTGAGTCAGGTGACTGTTTTATTGTATCAGACGTGGAAAACTAATGTGGCTTTGATACATTAGCACCTTGGACTACATAATAATACAGCCTGTATTTTTGCTTTTAAGTATTTATTTCAAGTATTTATAGAAAAACCTTCACAGATCCAATTTGAGATCTGACAGTTATCCCCTATTTGTTAGAAAAGGACATTCACATCTTGCTAGAAGTTATAGAGAAACAAAAGTGCTCTCTCTGAAAAATCATGCTCCGACAGACAAATAGGAATATACTTGAAACACTGTGATAGAAAATCTGGTTATGAAAGTTAACTATTAATACTTCTGTTGATTGTTTCTGAGTGAGGGGGAAAAAAACCATTAAGCTATTCTAGTAGATGATTAACAAGAAGACTCTAGCATTATTAAAAAAAATATTAAAAACGTGTAAAAACCAACACCATAATCGAGAATTAAGTTAAAGAGGCCCCAATCGACGGAAGGAGAGATGAAGTCAAGGTCCCAGTTTCAAGTATATTTGAAAGGCTGTGATGATCAGGGGAGATTTCTGAATGCTGGAAGAAAGCAACTGTCACTCCTTTCTTCCACAAGGGCAAGAAGGAAGATGCAGAACACTACAGGCCAATCAGCTTCTCCTCAGTTCCCAGGAAGATGATGGAGCAAATAATCCTAGAAAACATCTGCAAACATATTAAAGTCAAGTAGATGACCTGGGTAGTCAGCACAAATTTAGAAAGGGGAAATCGTGCTTAACCAACGACAGCCTCCTGCAAGGCAGTGACCAGCTCTGTGGACGTGGGGAGAGCAGCAGATGTTGTTTACCTTGACTCCAGCAAGGCTTTCAAAACAATCGCTCATAAAAGCCTCAGAGAAGCTGATGAAGTGCAAGTTAGATAAGTGGACAGTGAGGTGGATTGAAACCTGGCTGAAATGCTGGGTTCAAAGGCCTTTGGTGAGTGGCACAAAGAGCAGCTGGGGGTCAGTCACTACTGGGGCACCCCAGAGGCAAATACTGCCCAACACCTCCCTCAGTGACCTGGATGACAGGACTGAGTGCAACCTCAGCAAGATGGCAGGCAATCCAAAACCCTGAGGAGTGCTTGATACATCAGGTAAGTGATTCAGAGGGACCTCAAGAGGCTGTAGAAATGGGTTAATCGAGATCCCACAGAGTTCACAGTCTGGAAAGCAGTTTTGCAGAAAAGGACCTGTGGATCCTGATGAAGAACAACTTGAACATGAATCAGCAATGACCCTTTGTACACAGGAAGGCCAACAGCATCCTGGGCTGCATCAGGAAGTGCATCACCAGCAGGTCAAGAGACTACTCAGAATGCCTGGCAGAAGAGTGTAATGAATATGGAGCCAGATTCTTTGCCACTGTTGCCCAATGACAGGACAAAAAGCACCAATCAGAAACAATTACAGAAAATTCCATTTAGACATAAAAAACCCCTTTTTACTGTGCCAGTGGTCAAACACTGGAAGAGGTTGTCCCAGAGAAGCTGTGAAGCCTCCATCCTTGGAGATATTCAAAACCCAACTGGACATGGTCCTGAGAAACCTGCTCTAGTGGGCACTGCTTTGACCAGGGGGATTGCACTAGACAATCTCCAGCAGTCCCGACAAAATTCAAGAATCTTGTGATTCTGTGATTCTGTTTTTATAGCATCACTGTAATTGATTAAGTCATGTATCCCAGTGACAACCTATTGTCTTCTCTCTACTTCACATGATTTCTGAATGAGATAGAATTGAAGTCTTTAATGGTATGAGGCAGTGGAAAGTCATAGGACAACTTGGTTTCATTTCCAAGTAAATGTTAAGGAAATATATATTTTTATATATATAAAGTACACTGGTTGAATCTCAGATCATGACAGGTAGAAAGCTGAAAAAACCTCACCCTACATCTGTACCCTTTACTTTTTCACCATTTTGTTGTCAGTAAAGCCCTTTTCTTTCTCCTCCACAAGTATTAAATGATTAAAGATTAAATTTGGTAATATAGTTACCAAACTTAGAAGAAAAAAAAGCACTGAATCCGATCTGCACTAAAGTCACTTTGAGTATGACGAACACAGACTGGTTGTCTTCTTCCTCGGTGTCCAATGCTGACACCTTTCTTTGGCAATGGAACTGCCACACAGGGACCTGGCACTCCATCAATTCATCACCTCTTTTACAGTTTCAGTTACTTAACACATTTTCCCAGCATCTAGATGGTTGTTGGATCACTGTTTTTTAGTTAAACCCTTTGGAAGACACCATGCTGGAAAAAAAGCAGGCATGGCAGAAAAAATTAAACCTCACTAGGAACACTAGATTAAAACTGTACATGTTGAAAAACAGACTGCTGATTTCTTTCCTCCTACCTCCATAATCACATTTTTTGCCACTATAATCCATCCTCACTGACAATTCTGGTATATCCCAACTAGTGTTTTAGCACACAACTAGAAACCTGTTTTCTTGGGTTTGAAAATGCTTTTATTAAAAGCTGTTCTACTTTTATCTGTTGTTTCAGGTGAAGAAATGTAGATTCCTGCCTATGCTGTTGCTTGTGTACACAGAGTCATTCAGAAGCAATGACAGACTTCACTTTGGCAAGGAGACTCAGAACTGATGGACTCTTCATGTCTCTGCTAAAGCCTCACAAACACAGCTTCAAGCCTTGCAAAACCAATGCTCTAATCCATAACATAATTCACCGTACTCAAGGAGAGTAGAATTATCAAGGAAAACAAAATCTAATAAAGTCAAACAAATATACAGTTTCCCAGTTTGATAAGTTTCATCTCAGTTCAGTCACACCTTCTTTTGAGCTTTCCATTTTTGGTATCCAAAATTCTACATCTACATTTCCCACTGATTTTTTTATTCCTTCCTGATTAAAAACCAGTATATTACTCTGGTTCT